GCATTTATGAAGTGACTTTCGTAGAGTAGTATGTGAGAAACGTCTACGTCTAACTCTGGATCGGTCTATAGATCGGAAGTTAGCTGATCAGACAAAAGTTAAGTCGGGCAGTGTAGTTAAAAGAAGCTCACAGGTCGAATACATAACATCAATAAATAAATACATAACAATAAGTCCGACTGGATGCCGTCATGAAAACTTACAACCAGCATTTTTATATTATTAGCTGTGTTTATATTATTATTTTATATTATTAACTTAGCTTTTACCAGAAGCTGTGAGAAGCGAGCTGGGGAAAAAAATAGGTCTTCCAGTGTCAGCAACAATATCTTGCGTCTTGACTGTTCTCTTTCTGGACTGGGGTTACCGAGATTAGAGCCCGTACCTTTCTAGACTATTTTTTAAACATTTCTTCGAATAAAAAAGAAGACTGTAACCAAACTGATCAAATACCAGTTTATGAGAAAATCTGCCATTTTTCAGTTCATTTATATCCTTTCATTAAAGCTGTATATTCAAGCATTTCACTCTCCAGACGCAGTCGTATGCGCTATATCGATTATACATCTATTTAAGATTCCACACTAATCAATTTTACATCGAGATTTTTGCCTCTGTGCGTGCGTGCGTGCGTGCGTGCGCGCGCTTGTTTGCAAGTTCTCTTTATAATGTAGAGCTTAATTCAGGTTAATAATAGTAGGTTGTTTCAACGGTTTATGAAGACGTAGCACGCGTGTACTGGGCACCAGCTTATCAATGGCGCAGATCTAAACTGGAACTATTAAAAATTGCTTTAGTCAGAATCGTGTTGACGAATGGCAGAGAAATAAGGTCCAAGAAAATTTGAAAGATTCTGAAACACAAATATAATAGTTAGACTTTTCCTTTCGGTATTGCGGTAAAAGCAAGGTTAATTTACTCTCGTGTCTCCATTGGTAACTGTGACCGCATAAATTCCTGAAACCCTGGTAGTTCGCTTATGATCGATTATAGCACAACGAAATGTAGGTATTTTTACAGTTAATCAATGACTGATCGATCAATCAATCGATCAATGGTAGATTGAATCATCATTATCGTCGTTATGATGGTTTGTATAATCATTCTTGCATGGTTTGTGAAACAATGGGTGACTGCCACTCACTGAATAAGACAAAATGAAATAGTTGCTTCGTGTCCGGTAATGCGCCATGTTATTTTTCGTACGGACTAACAAAATCGTAAGATGTAGTTTGTAACAACAACAATCTCTCCAACGCGTCCTCCTTATAAGGTTAGTTATACTACTATATAGCTACTGTCTAGTAAAGACATACTGTCTTTTACATCAGTAGCTACTGCGGATCCTGTTTTCTACATATTTGACATTGGTTGAGGGTGCGCATTCTAACGCGGCAATTTTGAAAATGTCTCTTACGCAGTAAAACGCGAACAGATCGTTACCTTCTACGTCAACGAACGCGAAGGTTTCGACCGATTGAATTTCGTCTATCGAATGTATATACTATTTTGGATTACGAATGTATATATATACTTTTTTGTGTTGTTGACCAACAAAATTAGAATTTCCTCCGCCCACTACCAGCTTTTCTATGTAAGTGGAGGCCATCGTGGGGCCGCGATGACTGAGCCCTCTTAGCATTTACCTTGCATGCATAGAAGCAACGATGTATAAACAAGCTTGATGCTGCTGCTCCGGCATAAGCTAGTAACGTTCATCACTACCATGTCTATCTGTCGCCACTCCGAACAGTACGACAATATTTTCACACATTAGCGCTACTTGATCTTATGGGGAAATATTCCGCAGAAATATCTAGATTTGTTTGTGCCACCTCGGCGTGGAGCAAGCAACGGAACTATCGTCATTTTGTCCTCTGCTAGCGTTGTTTCCGAAAATTGTCAGAGTCGTAAAGCGTTCAGCTGCCTAAGCGGAAATCGAACATATCCGAGAACGGATGAAGTAATTTTTATAATACGTGAGGGAGCTTGATTGTGTTTGTGAATTGGCACTTTGTGAAGGACAAGTGTATATATATATAGCTAACCCGCATTAGGAGACTTTACAGACGTATTATTAGTTGCTTACTTGCGGTTAGAGTTCCCGTAGAAAAAGATCAGGCTGTCCTGCTTCTGTTGGCCCCACGGACAATAGCCTCCAAGCCTATTCTTTCTTCGCTTAGCAAAATACCCGAATATAAGTTTTTCAATCGATGTGTATTTTTCTTCTAGTTTAGATATTGGCTGGACTTCTGATGGACTAGTCCCTAGCGCATACGCTTAGAGAAATCATTACAAACACCAACTGTTCATACGCGAATGTTAAGTTTTTACTCGACCGATAGAAATCATCGTGAAAATTGATTAATTCAAGTGTCCACGTATCGATTTTGTCTTACAGGCTATATTTGCCCCTTTAGTGACCATTGCAATACGCTGTACAGTCGATAGTTACGATTTTGTAGCCATAGGCCTTGCCCATCTCTGAAGATCGTGTTTGCCTCGAACGCCGTTGTCCGGCTTCAGCTGCATCCTACTGAGATAAGTGTTGCCAATTTGTGGTAATGGTCACTTCGATTACTCTGTACAGAAACACATACAGATGCTCGAAGAAGAATTGCTTTCCCGCTCATTTATTTACTAGCTTATGCTGTTGCGGCAAGAATGAATAGGACAGCAGCAGCAGCAGCAGCAGAAAAAGTAACATGTGTGCTGCTGCGGCCACCACAAGACGCCTGAGCCTGCCGCTGCGGTAGTCGCCAGTCGTTCATCTCACACGTCTGCCCACCGCTTTAAACCGAGATAGCGAATAGTGCGGGGGCTCCTCATGGCGACTTACGGATACCGGCAGCAGTCGCGATAGCGGCTGCAACAGCGATTCCAATAAGAGCAACGGCAGTAACGATCGTATCGCGGAATAAGACGGTTCACGTACAGAATGCAATGGTTTAATATTATCCACACCGTTCTCACCTTTAGTCAGTCAGTCAGTCAGTCAGTCAATCAGCCGGGCAAGCTACTGATTGTCCGACTATGGTTTCCTGCGACGATTGGTTGATTGATATGGCTGTTTGTGTTGTTTTCGAAAATCGGCTCGTGCGATAATGCTTTTCCACCGCCTGCATTATTGCGTGGTAACCTCCGATTCTTCAGTCAATCAAATGATGATGTAAAGATTATTGAATAATAGAAATTTCACAGTGAGATCCGATTTTGAAGACAACTACAGATTTGACAGTTATGGAAGGTCTGAGTGAAACAAAAGACGCCGACTTTAAATAGACATTGGTTAGGACCAAACGAACGTAATCCGGCACTATTAACTAATTGATATATAGCAATGCTCCAATGGAGCGTTTTTGGCCTGCTTTCTTAGTGTGGACAAGAATCTCTCGCTAGTGTAAAATCGAAAGGGGCATTTTGCCTTTTATTGCCGAGCTGATAGAGAATATTAAAATAATTCTCAAAACAATTACGCTCTTATGCCTGCAAGCATGAATGAATACGACCGTTTTTCATTGTCGTCGAAAAATACGCGCTCTTCTGCAGATGCTAGACTTTTAAAATAAAATTCAGGTAATTTTTTTGGCTTGGCTTGTATTAAATTGTAAAATATTAAATGATAGCGATCCAATATGTTCCAGATGGAACGCCTCTGTCTATGACTTGAATTTTCGTCACAATGTTAATCCGAGTCAGCACGGTCTTGGCTTGCTCCAGATAAGATGACTGAATCATTCGACAGTATAGTGAATCTGTAAAAAGAATGTAGAAAGAGGAGCTGGAATTGAGCTGGACGAATTGCTTATCCCTCGTCTAGTTTGGCTCTCGTATTATGTCAACGGATCCCGGTATCATCCGGTATAGCGTCATTAGAATACGAAACCGCGACTAGTACACTCAAAGCCGTCTACGAAATCAGGCCAGGACTGAGGACAACGAGAATTAGATTGGAAGCAGGACTGACAACGGTTGATGAATAAACCGCCTGCCAATCTTCCCAGCTGCGATTCCAATCTATACATCGGTGACATAGCGTCTGAAGGCAACACGAGACATAACTTAAAAATCCACAAGCGTAAAATCTAAACTTAGCGCATCCGTTGTGCGCATATGTAGGAACGCACTGATATTGAAAAGCTATCGAATTTTATCTGTTTTCATCACACGTATGTTACTGTATATAAAATAACGTAGTTCTTTTTTGCCTAGAAGCTACAAGTAGCATTACATCGCCGCAATGTACATTTGTTTTTCTTGTCGTTTGCTATAATGGGTCTTTTCCAAGTTCGGGTAATTTGTCCAGTCAAGAAACATTTACGTTCTTTCCAGGTTCTAGCCCTAAACGCTACTAACAGAGACACTAGTGCACGACTACGTCAACCGACTAGATTGAAGACAGCCACCTTGATTAATTTCTATGAGCTTAGACCGAAGGATCTACACATGCATGCTTGGCAAACTAATAAAAATAATTATTCACTGTCTTCTGCATCGTTTGATGATGACTCTTAAAAGACCCATCGCTCAGCCATCTTCCCAAAGGACTAATCTGGGCTTAGACAGCTTGTTTGGGGTGAGACTGACTTAGTAGACATAAAAGACATCGTAGTTTTACGATGTCTTTTAGCAACGAATTCTAAAGGAAATCATTTGGCCGAATCAGTGTACATGTTCCCGCCGCGTCGCATACGTATAATCTGCAGCATGAAGCATTTCCAGTCTTCGCGTACCACAACAGTAGAAAAGACCTGTTCCGGCTTACATATGAGGGTTCTGTAACTGGCACCGCCTATAGTGAAGGCTATATACATATATATTTAAGGCTAGATAATGATACACCTTCATCGAACGTGGTTCAAGACAATCTAACGATGTCAATGTACAAACAACGGTCCTCAAGCACACATAGAAGAAAAATGCACGTAGAGTCATCGCTTCGACATCTAAAGACGAAATCTATAAGCATACTGTCTACGACGATTTTCTGTAATGAATAGATCCTTGCGACTGGATGCAGTGTGGTCAGTTTGCGATCTGTGCCGTGGACGCCCGTGGCCAGCCAACGTGTTCCTGTAAAGCGGGTTGTTCCGGTGATCCGTATACAGGGTGCGCGGATGTGAATGAGTGCACAGCGAACCTGCCATTGGATCCAAATGGACCTTGCGGCTCCGGCGCTACATGCATCAATCTCGTCGGAAGCTACAAGGTACTTTCATTCAAGTAGCCATTTTTTAAGATTATCTTTTCCAATTTAGTATTTGGACGGACTAAAACGTGTTCACACGGGATGAGCGGTGCGGAGCATGAGCACTACAAACTGTGTTGGTAATATGAAAATTGTTTATTACAGATCATATATTATTTGGCATTGCCTTATTGACGCCAGTCGGTCCTTTACATATAACACATCTCAAGCGTATAGCGTCGTTTCACTGATGATATCGAACGCCATTTCTTTCTTTCTTTAACCTTCACACGATATGGACGGGTGGGAGGAAACAATTAGATATCGATTACTTTATTTTGTGTTTTTACTCAAACTCCGCCAATGACGCCATGCGCCAAATCTCTTCCAGAATAAACATTTTCCATTTCGATACACCCTCTCGGCGGACACTCAACCGCTATATTTAGGAACGTCTACTTAAAGCTCTTTCAGTCAAAAGGGCATAAACTATTCATATCTCGTGGATTTTGCTAAATTCACACAGATGAATATCGCGGGTTTTTAGGGTGTACGATAGCATAAATCTGCTTGCACACCATTTCTATTCTACGCCATAAGGTAAAATCATAACCATAACAGGCCCTTGACACTTACAGCCTCACATAGCTGATCAAATAGCGACATTTTGTCAATCGAATGACTCACTATTGAGCGCCATGTTGACAATGGTAGATTTGTAGTAGTTGCGCATATCGCGGAAATGAAATTTAACGGTGAGGAGAGAATCGACGCGACTCCACTGTTCCGCTTCGCTGAAGCCACTGAAGGATGCGTATTTCAATAAACTTATTTGATGTTCTGCGCAGTGTGAGTGTCCGCCTGGAACTCAGGGCAACCCAGCAATCGGTTGTGAAGGTCGGAGTGGTGACTGTCGCTCGGATGCCGATTGCCCTGCGACGGCTGTGTGTGACGTTAAAGGGGGCGTGTGCTACGATCCTTGCCTCATCTTCCATTGTGGGCCGAACTCCAGCTGTGAACCTGAGGGACATAAGGCAACTTGTTGGTGCTTACCTGGATTCGAAGGTAAGCTGCTGTATTGTTAGAGGTAATTGGTATCGTTATTAGCGGACGGTTTCAGCGCAATTTTGAAATGTGAAATTTGTAAGTGTGATTTTAATTGAACTTTGACTGGGCAGTTACTTTCGCCGAGAGCCATGTACAGAATAAATAGCGAAGATAAGCCGATTCCTCCGAAAGTAATAACTACAATGTTTCTGAATTCTCAATCGTTGGAAAAGTTCGACTTACTGTTAGAATCCATAGGCACACATCCGTACGTATAGTTGAAGTAGGTACACTTGAACTACCGTATGTTTTTGCGAAGAGAGGTCACGCCCCATACATGAGTCTGCTGAAGCAACTCTATATATATATATATAGGGATTCATGTACAAAATTCAATTGTCAGTAAGTATAATTGCGTTTCCATCCAAATAAACAGAAGAACACTCGGATAGGAAAGTTCCTGCAAGATGTCTTCCAGACGCAAATCCAACAAGTGGTTAACTATTGAACCTAGCTAACAAAACCAGAGTATTGCTTTGCAAAATTTGGATCAATTTATAGGCACTAGCCATTGAAGCAAATTACGTTACGGCCTGTGTAATAGAGCCACCCTTGGGCATGCCGTACATTTGTCCCGATTTAGATATAAGGCACAAAAAGGGCGCATCCTTTTTTATTGGCGTCCCTTTTCTATCTTTTTCTTTTAAGCTGAACTGAACAGAAATTCATCGCTGCATGCAGCTGCTTAAAAATTAGTTAACAATAACATTCACGGCGGCAACAAGGGCAGTCATAGAGACTCCCAATATACGTGGCGCATTCTAGATAGTTGGACTTGAGTAAGTACTGAATTTTCATGGCTTCGTGCAGGGAGTCCACTTACCCAGTTGCGTATAGAGTGCGTGCAGTAGGTACGGGGAGTAAACGTTCAGAATCAAGAAGTTCCCTGTTTATAGGGGATGAGTACCTAAGGGAAATATTCAACATCAATAAGGGCAACATTAATAAATGGACAGTCACAGAAGTAATAATAATGACGCGTACAATGATGCGAAGATTTGATTAAGCTGATGTTTTCGGCAAAGAACTTTGTTGACAGCTGAAAAACATGGATTTTGCCAAAACTACATGAAACTAGCAACTATACTATCATTTATGATCTACCGCATTTTTCTCTTCATTTAGCTAAACCGGCGTTATGGTCGTTGAGCAGAGCTCATAAGCGTACGTTGGGAGACCTATATCTGCACGCTTCACCGTTCGATGAGAGCATGTCTGACTAATTAGATACAAATTAATATGCGTCTTACCTTGGATTGTTATTTTTATAGAGTTTTTTTTTGAAAGTGGCGGCTCCTTTAAGGTTTGTCGAACGTTTTTTAGTTAAGGTCGTGATTCAAGCCGGCGCTTTGTCCGTGTGATAGCTGCCTAGTTCTATGGATAAGAAGAAGATTTAGTACCAACAATCGGCCATTACAATATGCATTTAGCTTAGGCAATTAACAGCTCAGTTAAATGATGAAAAGAAGAACTGGGAAACTCAATTTCGCAATAGTCTGCGACGATCATTAATCTTCCTGTTCTGATTAGGTGCCACCTCGTCTTCGGCAAGCATTTTACAAATCCCATACGGAACGAAGTGGCCTCAAAGCAACGTTGTTACGCAGTCGCCTACTTTTGGCATTAAAAGAATTGATATTTTTTATATCGTAGAGTGCGCACTACGTCCAAATAATAATAATAATAATATCACAATAGCTGGGCAGTTCCGTTGCTGGTCCGATCACAAATTGGCTCAAAGCAAACATGCTGTTCACGGTGGTTTGCATCTTAGCGCTGGAAGTCAGCAGGCGAACATACAAATCGGCTGCATAATATGTCAACTAATTATCCAGTCAAAAACATCCTCTCCTACCTTTCCGCAGACTCCCTTCCTCCGTACTCCGCTCAGCATTTCTGTTTCTGCCTTTGTATTTTCGCCCCTCCCGTTCATCGCTTGCCTCTTTCTGTCGATCGGTGGTTTGTTCATTGTCAACAGTATACAGACGTGCACCCTGCAAATAGAGGCAATAACAATTTCGTAATAATATCGACAACGACGACCTTGTCAATAACACAATAGGAAACTAACATTGCAAAAACAGCGCTATCCGAGTCACGAAAATGAGGCAGCAAAACTATAATATATAGATCGCCCTCTTTACAAATAAAATATAGGCCAACTTACTGGGGTTTCAAAAACGATTTTCGAAACGCACGCGTAGATTGCGAATAGATAGATAGGCTGGCTTGTTTTGCTGATCATTTAGCTTAAAAGCAAACATAATTGAGATACCTTGTCAAAGCTGCTGTAGCGACAGTCGGCCTGTCTGCCAGTAGGTTCGTGGGGCAGTGGAGAGACCTTAATCCCGTTTGATTGCGTCACTATAAGGAAATGGAAGGAGCGGGGTCAAAGGCTCGCCCATGTCCGTGTGTGGGTAGAGCTGTATCCACCGTAGCCATTGCGAGTACGGCCCACACTAATTTCAGTTAAGAAAATCTGACAAGACCTCTAGTGTTTCAAAGGGTTCGAAAAGGAAAACCAGTTTCCGACGAAAATATTTGTTTGAAATATAATATTATAATATATATATATATAAATATAAAAATAATATATTCGGTTTGCCACGTTGCGCCATCATCTTTTCTATGCCTGGGCACGTCAAGCTAAAAAGTTGACCATAGTTTACCACCGCAAATGAGGTCACCTTCGAGCCTAAATTATTTATACGAATTAGAATTACATAACAGCACATGAAATAGCTTGACCTATAACTACTACCAGTCAACCATCCAATAAGCCAACAAGATCTTGTAGCTTTCAATTCAAAATTAGTCTGGGTCTTTTTCGAATTTCGAACCGCGCTTTGCTTTTGCTTACGTCAACTTCTATCATACAACCTCGGCTCCATTCAACCCATAAATCCAGCTTTCAGAGATTCCTAAGTGGGGCCTGTGTGCTTCGCCAGTCAGTTCGCGTAGGGAAATTTCACCTGTTGTGCTAGCCCACGTTATTATTCAGGTAAAAGGGCCAGCTCAATGACATGCAGTCATTGATCAATAGGGTTTCAATAGTCCTTTGAATGCTATGCATGACTCAGTAATTTCAATGACTGCTTGGCTCGTCTGCCGTAGTAATTTCAGTAAGGCAAATTATGCATAGAGAACTCAAAGCCACGAGAAATCGATCACTTGTAGCCTACTTGAGGGCAATTTGCCAATGGGAAGACAACGCTATTGACAATTCGCTAGAAGACACGCCACGAAGAGACAACAAAAAAATTGCAACGGAATTCATCGAAATACAAAAAGCTTTCGTTTTTAATGGGCCTGCATCTTGTAATGAACCGCAATATTTACCGCTGAACCCAATACTTTCAAATCTAACGTGAGAAGGACACGTTTTTTTTGAAAAGCTTTTCCTTCGTCAATATTGACGTAAAGATAATGCTTGTTTGTTTACTAGCAAGGCTCTCAAAGTCTTTGGTTGACCTGGCTTTTCTGACTGAAGAGTTCAGCTGTATGTAATATGTTTTATTTCAGATTTGAGTTTAGCTAAAAGGTGACTGACCGTTCTTACTGGCAAAGGGCATTGTGTCGAGTTTCACAAGAGCTCTTTGAGAGGCTATAGACAATTTCGAAGAACGCAGGTAGAAAAAGTGGAAAACAATCAACTGTGCCTATAACATTATTGCTCATTACTTTAGGCGATCCATACAACCAGGAATCCGGCTGTCGTTCCCCGTGCGTTGATGTTTGGTGTGGCGTCAACGCTCAGTGCATTGTCAACTCGAGAAACAAGGGCGTTTGCAAGTGTCTGCCGGGATATAGGGGCAACCCGTGGGAGGGCGGAGAGTGCACACCTGACACCGAATGCGGCGCAGGGAAACTCTGTCCCCATCCTGGACAAGAATGCCATGATGGTATAGTAGACTACATACAATAGAGAAGTTTTTTTTTTGTTGTTGTTGTTGTTGTTACTCCAGTTGCCCATTTTTGCATTCTGGCAACATTGAACAAATAACCCTCTCAAGAAAATTCAACGTCTCGTTATAGAAGATATCTGTTGTTAGCAGCCAGGTGCTTAGCGATCGCATACCTGATCGACTTCTGCATTATTTATCATCATTTAATTGTGCGGAGTATCAAAACGTTTCGCACATATGTCAGTATTTAGTAGCCGAATTAGGGTCAATAGCTTCTATAAACAGTATTATCGTCCATGAAGGTTGGTGCGTCGACCGTTGTGAGAATGTCCGTTGTGGCCTCAATGCTCGCTGTGACCGCGCCAATGGACTTTGCTCGTGTCTACCATATTTCATTGGCAACTCCGAGGTAATGTGTGTCCCACCCGTGTTGCCGCCAATCTGCTCGCCCCGATGTGGAGCCGGAGCTCACTGCGTCTATGGTGTACCGAATTACTGTGTTTGCAACCCCACTCTCTCAGGAAATCCTTATTCTGGGTGCTCGGAGACTACTACGAAGCGCTGCTCCTCACGATTTTGCGGCACAAACGCAATTTGCTCAGAACTCGGTGTCCTTGACTGCAGGTGCCCCGCTGGACTGCAAGGTAAGGGGAGTAAGAGGTAAAGACTGAACAGTAGTTATAACTCGCGCAACTGCCAAGCTCATAACTCAACGGAGAAGCTACAGGCCAAGCATATAGAGCCTAACGGCATCCTCAAGGCAACGTCAGTGGTGACAAGTCAAGTATGTCAAAGCATTTTTATAAGTTTTCCAGCAGTGCTATTCTGATTAATGTATAGACGCTTCGTTGCCGTCCCTCTAATCTTAACACTCAGGTAACCCATACACGGCTTGCACCGATGTCAATGAGTGCCTTGGCGGATCCGTTAGCGTGTGCGGCACAGGAGCGAAGTGCGTGAACACGTTTGGTTCTTTCAAATGCGTTTGTCCAGCTGGATACATTGGAAATCCGTTATTTGCGTGCAGTAAGTTCATGCGCTGTCACATTATAAATAATCAACACTGCATGTTCGAACTAACACGATGGTAACTAACGAGTAACTTCGACATTCTTTCGTGACCTGGTGTGTTCCTATGTCGTCAAAACGACAGTTAGCTCCCAGAGTTTTATAACATCAGTTGACATGACTAATTTTGCAGAAATTTTTTAAGCTCCATATTGGCAAAACACAAATATTAGACTGAAATATTTCTCGTATTGTTATTATTGTGATGCAGACGAAAAATCGCCGGTCGGATTAAACTGATCGAGTCTGCTATTTTTTAAACTCTTTTTTTGTTACAAATAAGGAGCATGGCAGCAACAACGTTGCTCAATAATGAACGATTCTGGTGCTTCCGCTAGCGCGCAACCAGCCAGAAAACTGTCAATGTGACAAGGTATGCGCTTGTTCCGCGTAATTTAGATATAAAGCTTATACGCGTGGTCGGGGTGTTTCGGATTTGGCAAATTATAAAAGGGTGTCATAAAAGTTCTCTGCCGCTCGCGCCCATGTACATGCCGAATTTGTTCCCTTGGCCCATCAGCAAATTCGATAAGGAGTGCTATCGGGTAACCGCCGTCCAGTGATGCCCACGAGCGTGCGCGCTTCCGCTATTCAAAGTGGTCGGTCTCCGGGTGTGGCGTGGCGATCGACACCGCTAACACCGTTGCAACGATTATCTCGTCTAATATTCGATCTTGCATTGGCTGACCGTTAGTTCTGTAGCTTCGTAATTAGGACGTGTCGTTGATGCAAGCCAATTTTAAACTTTGTCGCCTATCCCTGTCCGGTCAAACCAAGATCACAGTATTAGTCTTGCGCCGTATGCGTAGTGCGTATACGTGCGAAGGCGTCTAGGGAAACGCTCTCTGCAACAGTTACAAATGGCTACTTGTCATAATAGCAGTACATCGAATCTAATATTTAGTAGTAGAAGTAGTAACAATAATAAGATATTATTTATTCATCAGCTGCAATAGTCGCCTCTCCTCCTGGCATTGGGGGCGTCCCCGGTTTGCCCATCGGCGGTATTTCTGGTCCGTCGTCGCCGCCACTGCCGCCGCCTACCGGCCAACGACCGCCAGTTCAACCATCAACAATTGACCAAACGCCACTGCCGCCGATTCCGCCACTGCAAGGACGTCCGTCGTTACCTTCACCACCTTCGATTCCGCAACTGCCACAATTGCCTTCACCGCCTTTACCACAGCTTCCATCGATACCAGCGTTACCTGGATTTCTTCCAGGCAGCGGTCCCCGTGGAGGTGGAGCATCTCCAACGGGACCTCCTGCGGCAGCAGCACCACCCGTGGCTCAGACGCCCACTACAGAGACGCTCGCACAGGGAGCGCCTATCGATGACTGCGAATCGCATGATCAGTGCGGCCACAACGAGCTTTGTGTTCGTCGACGATGCATCCGTTAGTATCCGTAACGTGAAATGGTAACAACAGTTAGGTACCTCTTTATCTGTAATTGGGCAAGGGTCATAGCTGATTTATAGATGAACAGAATGAAAACTACGTGATATGTGTGCATATCTAACTGTTTATCTAAAATGTACCTAATAAGAGAATACTTCGATCGCAGGTCCATGCGACAGTCGCCAGTGTGGCCAGAATGCATACTGTATAGTTGAAGATGACCATGCCCTGTGCAAGTGTGAAAGCGGCTTCATCGGGCGATCCGAGGATCAACAACTCAGATGCTCTCCAGCCAAAGGTGAATGTCAGCTGCCATGAAAGCAGGAAATGTTAAAGATGCGAAAATTATGATCTGCTAGCACATCAGGAAAAAAAAAAGAAACGTCAATTTTTTTTTTAGATTACAATCTAGACTGAGCGAGTTAAATAATCAAATGAATAGAAAACCAGGGTGAAAAGTTAGCTAAACATCTCTCTTTGACATTGTTAATGATCATCATAATATTTGCTATTATATGAATTGATGCAGCAGCCATCTGTGCGGATGTGCAATGCGGTCCAAATGCTGCGTGCGAGGAACATCAAAAGCGGCCAGTATGTACGTGCAAGTCTGGTTTTGGTGGAGACGCAAACGATCTTATTCGGGGTTGTGCCGCCAAGGCCCAGGATGAATGCCATCAGGTATATATACTCATTAAAGTATCAGTACAAATCCACGATTCGATCTGGTAAGGATTAGCCTTCGAAGGAATTCATCAGTTAATTGAATTGATTTTAATCGAAATGAAATGGACTTGTTGCAGGACCCAGATTGTCGTGAGGACCACGAATGTAAACTGGGTCCAAAAGGTGTTAAACAATGCCGCGATGTCTGTGAAGACAAACTTTGCGGACCAAATGCCAATTGTCTTGGTGAAGTTCATAAGGCTATTTGTGAGTGTCTTCCTGGCTTCGTTTTTGACGGAACCGGATGTCATGGTAAGTTCATTTTCATAAAGAATTTTTATTTTTCTATTTTAATTTTTTTTTTTTTATTTGTTTAACTAAACGATTGTGTTCAGAATCTCTAGTTTGCGACGGAACTGGGCGGACAAATATCGCGCCAGGTATTAATCTAATGACCTATGAGTGCTACTATAACACTACTGCCCAGCACACCAGTCAGATTTTTAATTTTTTCAATACTGTATTCTATAGTGAAGATAAACCTTCTACAAATCGCTTAGAATCAATGTTGGTCTACAAATATATACTCTTGCATATTGGTAGGAAAAAGGTTCTTACCGACGAATAAGCTGGTAGTTATGATCAGTGACCATACGATTATGTTGGTTACCAGTTCCAGATGACTGTCAGGTAAATGGAGACTGTCTTATCCACGAAGTCTGCAAGCACCAGTCCGAAGGCAACAAATGCGTCGGTCAGTGACTTTGTTATCTTGTGTTGATATAATATTGATCACAACAAAAACCTAGTCGATCAAAAAAAAAGAACGAAGAAAAGTGAGGCGTTACGTTGTTTGTTGGATGCCTCACATGTAGAAGCGAATCGCTCATGTGGTCCATCCGTGTGGACCCCATTTACCTCTCCAATGGATAGAGTTGCCCCGTTGCGCGCTATTACTTAGGCTCACTTACAATGCATTTTCCCCATGACGCGCTCAGTGCTACACATCGTCATTGTGTAACTCACTGACGTCACGCTGAGACTCACCGACTGAAATAAAACCTGATAGAAGCCTAAGTGATAAACTGTACTAGCTAAAAGACACGGCGACATCATGAATGTCAGACATATAACACAATCATCTATATATAAAATTGTCCATATATTTACTATTTCCTTGTTTAATATCATCAACTCCAAAATTTCAGAGAAGTTTAGGGTGCTAACTCGGCTTCTGCGTCTTTCCGTACGATTGTTTTTTTTACGTAGACGTATGCCTATCGCAGCAGTGCGCGCCAAACGCTCGCTGTCAAGCTGTGAATCACCGTGCCACATGCGTCTGTCGAGATGCATTCTTTGGCAATCCTAACGACGCAGGCCGAGGCTGTCAACCAATCCTAGATGACTTCGGCTGCCTTCACGACGCAGACTGTTCTGAAGCTGAACGCTGTCTCCCCAACGCTCAAGGTGAGAAACTACCTAACACCATTTCGAAGCATGAACAGTCTCGTGCAGCAAACGATGTTTATATATCCTCATCGTAAATGGCATTTGACACACGCGAAACATTAGAATGTGGCACCTGCAAATGCTTATAAATGGAAATACTTATAAAAATTTACGGTGTTTTTATCATCTTATGTAACGGTCATGACACGACTATTACTCAATTTTAGTATTGTATATTATTCGACGGTTCGATATTGTCTTCAATGCTGCGTTTCTTACCGTATGAATGCTTCCATTAGGCGTACGTGCGTGCGTGAGCACGTGTGCGAAAACACGCTGCGGCCCACATGCACTTTGCATCGGCCGAGAGCACCGACCCGAATGTGTCTGTCGAGAAGGATTTGCCGGAAATCCCGCCGACTTTTCCATTGGCTGTCAAGAAATTCGACTAGACACGTGCAACACAAATGCCGACTGCCTCCCATTTCAGGTAAGTTCGTTGTTTCATAATAAATCGCACAGGTGAAACGTGTTTGTGATCTTTCGTACTTTTTGTTTTGTGTTCTGAGTTTTACGTCCGACACCGCTACCTGTTCTATCAGACGAATGGTCGTTAAATAATTATATTGTTTACCTTCGAAGGAGCAGCAAAAACAAAGTCCTCGCGAAGTTCAAATTTTCCTGTGTAACACTCGCACTTCCTTCCTGTAAAAGCTGCTGGTAATTAATATGCAACGAGTGCGCTATAAAGATAAATATTGCTCGCGTTTCGTTACGCGTTCTGAACTTATGTTCCTGGAAATTAACCAAATTTCAGGCGTGTAAGGCCACACCAGTGGGTGTTCGCTGCTGTGTCGATGTCTGCCTCGACCGTCGTTGTGGACCGAATTCCAATTGTTTTGCCGAGGCGCATCAGGCCAACTGCGAATGTCTTCCAGGTAAGAAACGTTTTGAAAAATTTAAAGCGTTGTTCTTTTATTTTCGTTATATGCAATCATTCATGGCTTACTTTCGCATAATTCTATACCTGTACTTTCAATGTCAAGGAAACAATACACGCGTTATCTGTAAATTTAATACCACACCTACATTCACTTCGATCAGGATTTGCGGGCAACCCAGCAGATCAGATTAGAGGCTGTCAACGACATCTTTGTGAGAATGACGGAAACTGTGGAGAGGCAGATACTTGCGCCCTAACCAGAGTCGGCATCCGGAACTGTACTGATGTCTGCTTGGACAAACGCTGCGGGCCTAACTCCGATTGTGTTGGCATCGGCCATCGCGCATCGTGTGTTTGCCGACCAGGCTTCGAGGGAATCGCCGACGATATACGTGAAGGATGCCTCCGTAAGTACTCATGTTGCACGTATTATACGATGCCTAGTAGCCTCTTTTAAAGCATCTATTTTAGACGATGCCCATAATAATGGTAGTTATCCGTATCAACTACCCACTAAAGTAAATTTTGATTGATTGTCTCTGAACTCTCAGGGGGAGTAGAAAGGTCGCAACACAAATGACCTGCGTGTTTAGCTTTTGTGTCGTGGGCAATGCAGTGCCTGTGAATCTTGCTCTCAATTACTTAGAATTCTTGTTCTGTTTTCCTCTAATCTAATCTAATGCTTTCCTCTAATGGAATCTAGCCTCTCCTAAATGCCGCACCAACAGCGATTGTCAGGGAGATGAAATCTGTGCGGTGGACGCATCGGGAGTACGGGCTTGTCTTATCGGTTGCGCAACCGTCCTCTGTGGCCACAACACCCATTGCCGAACTGAAAATCATATTACCGAGTGTCGGTGCCATGACAACTTCGTCGGTGATCCATACAACCGTGATACCGGATGCACACGTAAGGGTTACATTGCGTTTTCTGTGCTGAATTGCTTCACACGACTTCATTTAGTCTAAAGTCCGTAAAAATGCGACGGTATGTTGGTGCCTCGATCGTTGAGTCAGTAACGAAACAAATCAAGCATTCAGCAAGGCATATATAAAGACCAGGCGAAATTCTTTGACATGTACATTTTTCTCGTACTTTGTTGTTTCTATTGTATGAATGGTTGTACATTCGCGGATGAATACAGCTCTTCCAGAACGGTGTTACACTGATCATGACTGTCCGTCGATCGCAACCTGTAAACGGGGGCCTGACGGAAAAAAGGACTGTTTCGGTATGATGCTTGTTTTCTTTGCTATTTTCTGTTTTGCCATATTTGTGTTAGAATACCTCATTTAATATTCTTTCCTGAACTATATTCTTAGTTTAAGCTTTCTTCTTATACACTAAACTATTGTTAGTGATTAGTTGTTATTGGTGTCCTAAGGAATATTACCTGTTACCATGAATAATGTTCGAAGTTTGCATCAGGAAATCATCGATCAAGGTGTAGGTGTACTCGAATTTTATTTCATACGAAGCGACGGCTGTGTGTGCACGTTGACATGATATTACCTGACAATAATACCATTCGCTCAGGTCGAGCAAATTGCTATACTATATGTGGGTGTTTGTGTGTGCGTACGTGCTCGTGCAGTGTGTAGTGCACGCGGGTGTGCAGGTAAGTATCAAAACTGGACAGTGGCTGGCCGTATGCCGAAATAGCTTCGCCGAACGTTTAAGTGGGTCGAGGCTGTCATCTGTTCGGCTTCATACTGTTGTTTATTGATGCTGCAGACTAAAGGAGCTCGATTCTTCGGTGAAAAGAGGAGAGAAGGGGCAGCCCATGGCAAGCGCCGAGCGGCAGAGCCAACAACGGCAAATAATGCACAGTCTCAACACCTCCTGTGTAGTACAACACGTGTAACAGGTTTCCTGCAGTAAGAACTAGAGCAGTAACTGTTTTCAAGGGGGCCCGAATCAGTTTAGTCCCTCCAGCCTGCGTTCTGCCGCTTTTGATCTAGTTGCTTTAGATGGATGGATTATGAAGATATGTATCAAGAGCGAATGCTTTCAAACAAGTCAATAAGACTAGTATGTTCAAAAATTGGTTTAGAGAAACGAGACCGGAATTTGTACAATATCCTAATAAGAAAAAGATGGTATAGAGGCCACTTACCCTCTTATGTTAGCCATATTTTTTCAATCAAATTTCAATGGTACAAACAGCCGAAACTCAGAAGTCAAACAAATCATTGCAAAATTGCCGTTGTGTCGGCAGAGACCGTATTATTACACCAGATCTTAGTAAATTGAGTACCTGTTGTGCTAAAATAAAAATAATGCGATAGACTCGTCGACACACCCAAAACTCCCCTAGCGTCAACGGAGTAAATAATTACTGGTAGTCATGGGAGTTTAAGCACGTCTATAATAATCGTACCGCACGAGCGTATAGCACGAGTACAAAGCTTTTTCGTCTAAATATCACTATTCGTATCGCCAACGACTACCGCTGCTGCTACTACTTGTAATGTAGGTCTGCAGCTGCCACTACTCGGTACGATGAATTGTTTGTTCTTTCCAATGGCAGTGGCTATCGTTGTCCGAATGGTCAGATTATTATGCTTTCTTTCCGTCATCTTACTGAACGAATTTCCATAGGCGCGGTGTAGTTTTTTGTATGCGGTAGATGTTTCGTTGCCCTACAAGATAATCCGTCTGCAATGAGAGTAATACGTTTAGTCAATAAATTGTAGCACTACGACGATAGATGGAGCAAGTGGTACCTTAGGGGGCCAGTTTGCTTTCTAGGAAAATGCATTTTTTCGAGCTTATGCTTGTATTACTCTGATTGGAAAAATTGTAACCGTTTTGTATACACACAAGCAATATCGTACGTTGTGCTCGCGCCAAGTGTCAATTGCCATTCAACAATTGCGAGAGGCCAAATAAGTGGTAATTGCGATTTTGTGCGTACCGTAAGGTTTCAAGTAAACTGCGTAGTCCATCTCTATTAGTTGGTTTTTGTATATTTCTAGCAAAAAAACGGACTGACGAAGACAAAGGGTATCCTTAGTTGCTAGGTTTAATGTAAGCCTTCACTACTTTCGCTTAAAAGATGAGTTAAAGTTTCACTTTTTCATTCTGTTGTCATTTGGCATCCTCTTTCAGATGCTTGTGACGGCTACCGTTGTGCCGAAGAAGCTGTTTGTACTACAATCGACCACCGACCCACATGCGAATGTCGACCTGGGCTGGTTGGGGACCCATTCGTTCGAGGATGCAGAAGTAAGTACAGTATCACTCAGTCGGTGTTTTAATCAAACAACAGCGGAAACAATGAAATTCTATGTCGGTATATTAAAAACGTAATCTAAGCAGTACGCTCATTCATTTGAGACTAACGTGTATGTCGAAGCCACGTAAAGCTTGATATTTCCACAAATAAAAATTGGATTATGGACATGTAATTTGCTATTAAACAAAAATCAGATTACGTATATGTAATTTGCCATCCGACTTAGGTATCGGCGGCACCAGCCATGATCGTAGATACAAAAATTCGTAATTAGATTAAAAGCCACCTGATGAGTACCACTATTGAGTGTTCCTTTTCGTCCTCGCCGAGTCGAATGGATAATTGTATATGCCATGACAGGCTATGTGTGAGCAGAATAATGTACGGGATACTGATGAACTGGACTCAGCGGTAGCTAATTGAATCTGAGAAAGAAGAACCCCCCCTTTTTGCGTTCTCAGATCTACCTGTAACTGTCATAGTTGTATTCGACCCCCAGACGGATATGTGAGGCGCAACCTTAGAAGAACTTATTGGTCATCTATGCAAGTTACCAGTTACGCCAATTTAGATTTCATATGTGTTAGTGATCACTCCTGCCTACGAGAAAAGTGACTCAGAGGTGCCAAGAAACGCAGTCTAAACGTGATTGAAGGGTTCAAGGCTACATGATTGTATTTTCCATGTTTTTGTTGCTGAGTATGTGCTTTCTATAGGAATAGCTTGGCATTCAACCGATTTTCTTTTTTCCTATTAATTTCCATTTGACGACCGCAGTTGAGGTTCTAACGTTTTAAGTTTCCTCCCCATTTGAGTTCGATTTACTTGGTGTGCCTGACACCTGGCAGGCAACGAATGAGCCGATACGACCTTCCGCTGCAAGATAATCAGTCATTGCTAATCAGAGTATTTCTCCCGCCCGAAATAAGACATTTTCTGTGAAACACCAACGAAAGCTTCGACATAGGAACAGCTCTTCAGACAACAAGCAAAACAAATAGAATTCCAACATTTGGCCATTATATGGCCAGTGTACTATCTATTTAGCAAGAAAATGGGCCCATGAGACTGATTTTTGTCTAGCCGAACCCAGTACTCTTTTAATATGATCTCTTGATACATTTTTCTCTAATCTCAATATAGTTTTTTTATTCTACTTCATTAACATACGCCTTTTTTTTTACTTAGTATTGCGTTTTACCCTTGCCCAATGGCCAAACAGCTTGTTGTTTCTACTTCACTCACAGATACGTAGTTCATTTGAAAACCTATTGCGTCCTAGTCTCGCTAGTTTTCTACGAGCACCGAATATAGTCGACAACGGTAATTGCACTGGCTGGGTGAATCATAATCTCTTGATCCAGGCGTGGGATGATGAATAGATATGAAACAGTTTGATATTAAGATTTAACAGTACAATAGCATTCGCCTATCAAGGAGGTGAGAGGGAAGGCGGTGGGGTAGGAGGGGGTCGAAGAAGCAATTACGAGCGATTTCCAAATGGGAGGGTAGTAAATATTGAATGCCATGTAAGTACTATCATCAAAGAAATGATTAGGAAAATTGTGAAATAAAAAATACAGCTACAAACGTTAGTGCCTTTAATAATATGAATTGAAGTAAAGCATAGGTTGAACGCTTCAGTAAGAGCATTCAATGTTGCCCTCAATTGCTTAATCATCGCGCATCTTCCCGGTTTGTCTGGGACAACTAGTTAGCCGTAACATGGGAATATAACTTACTAAGCTAGAAAATGGCTGCAGGTCTGTTTGGTCGTCTTATTACGATAGAAAAAATTGAACACTGTTTTCCGTTGGAAAACTTTAGTTAGAGTATATGTGGATTTGTGTGAGTCGTAATAATAGACATGGCGTGAGACGGTATGTGCAACGGTAAAAGCCAGCCCAGCAGCTACTCGTAGGATTGCAGTATTCAGCTGCTTGGTTTTACACTAGCAATAACTGTGTGCGGTGTCTTCAATAGAAAAACGGGGCTGTTTCTAAGCCATCTTTGAATTATGGCATTGACATTTCAGTTCCAGACGAGTGCGAACGCGACACGGATTGTGCCGATGATCTGATTTGTCGTCCAGACCTTACGGGTTGCCGAAAGTGCGTTCCCATTTGCGTGTACGAAAAATGTGGCCCACATGCAATCTGCGTGGGTATTCGTCATAAGGCTCACTGCAGTTGCGAGCCTGGATTTGAGGGTGATCCCTATAACCCCACTGTTGGCTGTAAGGTATAATGACACTAAGCAGGAACAAAGACCAAAACTCAATATAAAAACAACTCCGAAATCCGATCTGATCTGCAAAATTGTCGTTCCGGTTTACTTTGTGTAATGACTACATTGTGCTCTCTCTATGCATTCAACTCTGTGGACTTTCTACCCGATATTTGTGAAAGCGTATAGAAAAAATTCAAAATTTAATGTAACCAAAATCCATTATTGCCCCGCATTAATAAACGTAAACACGTATACGATAACGAATCTGTCCGTCGCACATAGTCGCTGTAGTGTTGATGATGGGTGGATTTAAAATGCCCAGTACCTAGAACTACTGGGAGTTGAAATGCACCTGTAAATAAAATGGGCACATCTGGAAAAAAATTAGGGCCTTAGCTGATACTCATACCATACAGAATAGTAGCAAACATTTTTTTGTGCATTTTAACAATGTTCTAGCTGTCAATGTACACCTGTCTATATAGTATTTCTAGAACTGTATCTAAACAAAAAAAGAAGTGTCATTTCTCACGGTTGGAGTTATTGAGTATCATCACCATCCAATACAATCGTAGCTTTCATCCCGTATCTGAACCGCTCGCTAGTCGTTCGGTAATCTACAAATAACCTCTTAGTAGTACGTCAAGGGACATTGATAGGTGCAAAGCTCAAATACGCTACATACATTTAACGTACGCATAATTTTAACGGAATTAAAACGAGCCAAGATTTCTTGCAGTGCTACAAATCGACCCAAAGTCATGAGCTAGCTGATTGTTAGAGCTCATCTGAGCGACTCGATCGGAGATTGATATTCGTTTTCCCAATAGCCACTAATTTCTATCAAAGATCACAGTTACATAAAACATGGTTTCTCGATTTTTTAAGCTCTTCTAAATCTAAAATCTACCAATAGGCTTGCTTCGTGGAAGTGTCGAGTCTTTGAGAAACTGCATGAAAACTGGCAACAATGTAAACTGTCGATTTCGGCTTAAACTCTAAAAAAGAGGCATTGTTTTTTTGTCATGACGAGTTTGTTATTCGTGACGGTTTCGGTTTTGTCCGAGTTTTTCTCGACTTAAGCGCTTTTATATATACATATAGCTCCCAATTTATGCATATATATATATATCAATTTGATAAGATGTATGATTGTTGCACGATTCTAATAGGTACTTGTGTTACAATCTTTAGATCCTAGCACCAGTTATTGAGGGCTGCCAACTGGACGACGATTGTACCCAAAGTGAGATTTGTGTCCGTGGCCACAAGTGCGTTCCTGCATGTGATCGCCGTCAGTGCGGGCCTAACGCTGTCTGCCATGCATTCAACCACCGTGCCCAATGCGCCTGCCTTGAAGGGTTTAAAGGAGATCCCGACAACCCTATAAATGGTTGTCGTCGCAAGGACGAATGCACAGCCGATGAAGACTGTTACGCGAAGCACGACGTCTGCCGTGCGGACAACACCGGTGAACGTCGCTGTGTGCACGCTTGCAGATACAACAAGTGCGGCTTTAATACGCGCTGCGTCGCCGGGGAGCACAACTATCATTGCGAATGCGTCGAAGGCCACGTCCGCGATCCGGGTAATCTGTTTGCGTGTGTTCCACGTGCTATCGACGAATGCAGGAACCACACCATGTGCCCGAGCACCGCCCAGTGCATTCCTAATTCACTCGGGGTGTTTCGGTGTGCAGAGGTGTGTATCAGCTTCAGCTGTACACCTGATGCCGACTGCATTCCCCTTAACCACATGGGACGCTGCCGATGTCGTGAAGGTTTCACTGGAGACCCGAACAGTCGCGAGGGATGCCGAACGATTCCCGAACCAGAGTGCATCGCCCATTCGGACTGTTCTCTACCTACCCAAGTGTGCCAATTTGACGAGCATTATGGCGAACGACGATGTCAGGACGGATGTCGCTTTGTGAAATGTGGACCACGAGCCATCTGTGTAGTTGACAATCATCTTCCAAAGTGTGCCTGTCCTCACGGAAACTATATCGGTGACCCCTACGATCAACGTGACGGCTGCCGCCAGGTCGAGTGTCTCAAAGACGAGGACTGCCATCCAAAGAAAGCTTGCTTCCCTAACTTCTACTGCGAGGATCCATGCGTCGATGGATGCGGAATAAACGCTGCCTGCGTAGCACAAAACCATCAACGCATCTGCCATTGTCGACCCGGCTACACTGGTGACCCACTCGTCCGTTGCGAAGAAATTCACTTCTGCGACTCGAACCCATGTCACTTATCCGGGAAGTGCGTTGACACACCCGGCGGCTATGAATGCGTTTGCCAAAACGGCTTTATTGGCGACCCATATCGCCAGGGTTGCCGACACCCGAACTCATGTCCAAACGGCAACGGTGACTGCCCTGGACATTTGGCCTGCTTCCCCGACCATAAAGGATCCCCCATGTGTCAAAACCCATGCGACCACTTCTCTTGCGGACCGAACACACAGTGCCGCCCAGATAACAAACACGGTGCCGTTTGTGAATGCCTCTCCCACTTTCGGGGCGATCCGGCTGCCGGCTGTGTGCGTGAGTCTTTCGGATGTCTACACGATGCTGACTGCGCAGGAGGATACGTCTGTTTGGATGCTCAATGTCGATTGGCTTGTAGTCGAGAGAATGATTGCGCTGTCGGTGAGAAATGTGTCGGCTCCCGTTGCGTGCATATGTGCTATTCGAACAATGACTGTCCTCCTAAGGAGGCCTGCCTATCTAACGGATACTGCCAGATTGGATGTCGCACGAACGCCGACTGTCCCTCGGAAGAGACTTGTAGCCAGAACCGTTGCCAAAACCCGTGCCTTATCAGAGGTCTATGCGGACCTAATGCCATCTGTACCGTGCGAAACCATGAGGCATACTGTTCATGTGCTGATGGTTTAGTCGGCAACCCTACCCCACAAATTGGTTGCACACGAGCTGTGCTCACTTGCACAGGACGCGGAAGAGGTGACTGTCCTAGCGGCTTGTCTTGCTTCGAGAATCGCTGTCGAGCTACTTGCAGTGGTTGTATCGTTGGCGAAGCCTGTGTTAGGGACTTCTGTATGTCGTCGTGCGCGGGTGACAGTGAATGTCCCGCGGGAGAACTTTGTATCCATGGTCACTGCCAGTTTGGCTGCCGAACAGACAACGACTGCCAAGTACATCAGGTCTGCTCACTTAACACTTGTCATTGTAAACCAGGATTTAAGGAAACGCCATATGGGTGTGAAGATATCAACGAATGCATCGTGGACCATCCTTGTCATAAGAGTGCCATTTGCCATAACACCCTCGGCAGTTTTCTCTGTAAATGTCCGGAAGGCTTCATCGGAGATGGTTTTACTGGATGTTCAAACCCTGGCGAATGCCCACGGGGCGACGTCGATTGTCCTCAACACGCTGCCTGCGACCGATCGGGTATAACGCGTTGCATCGATCCCTGCGCTAACAACCCATGCGGTCCTTATGCTATTTGCAGTGTCCTCAACCACCGTCGGCAGTGTCACTGCCCTAAAACAGGCCTGTTCACTGGCGACCCTTACGACAAAAATCGAGGATGTATTGCTGTGGATTGCCTTGCTGACACTGACTGCCACCTGTCCGAACATTGCGTGAACTTCGTTTGTCAAAGTCCCTGCGATAATGTCAATTGTGGTCCCCACGGTACCTGCGTCGTTCGAAATCGTCAGTCTTCTTGCGAATGTGATCGCGGCTACGAGAACAAAGGCTTGCTGCATTGTGTCGATGTGGATGAATGCGCAGGACATCCCTGCCATTACACCGCTTTATGCGACAATACTTCAGGAGGCTACACCTGCCGTTGTCCCGCTCACCTGGTCGGAGATCCGTTTGCAAAGCCTGGTCAGCCCGGCTGTCACGATCCGAATATTTGTTTTAACGGAAACAGCGACTGCCCGTCGACGTCCGCCTGTCTTGACGTCAAGGGTACGCCCTACTGTAAAGACCCCTGTGAAGTGTCAAACCCTTGCGGCAGTAATTCGAAATGTACCTGCATTAACCATCAGCCGGTGTGCAGTTGTGCACCAGGTTTTACGGGTAACCCTAAAGTGCGCTGTGAGGTCGTTGAATGCATTGCTGATGGCGACTGCCGTGACTCGGAGATCTGCGCGCTTAACAAGTGTGTAGATGCCTGCCGTAGCAATGGAAACTGTGGTATAAATACGATCTGCGAATCGAAGCTGCACAGCGCGCTATGTCGTTGCAAGGATGGTTTCCGCGGAAATCCTAGCAGTGGCTGTATTAAGAACATTCCGTGTGACTACGATGACAACTGTCCGATCGGTGAATTCTGCTATCGAGGCTTATGCCGACTTTACTGTAAAGCGAACCGTGAGTGTGGCAGCAATGAGATCTGCGAGGACGGCCGTTGCCGTGAAGTGTGCCGCGCAAACAGCGATTGTCCCGAAGGCTTTCGTTGCGTGCTCGGCAACTGCGAACCTGCTGACCGCTGCTTCCACGATGGCGAATGCGGTGAGCAACGAATTTGCCGCTCTTCGCATCGTGGTTATGACGCTTGTATTGATCCGTGCGAGACCACCCTGTGCGGACGGAATGCGGTCTGCATCCCTAACAAGCACAGCGCCATCTGCAAATGCCTCGAGGGCTACGTTGGAGACCCGCTCGACGGTCGGGTTGGGTGCAAAAAGGCTGAATGTTTCCACCACGAAGATTGTCGCGATGATCAAATTTGTCACGAGAACAAATGTATCGACCTCTGCGTGATTCGCCAAGGTTGTGGGCCAAATGCACACTGTATCTCTAAGCATCATTCCGCTACATGTACCTGTCGGGAAGGCTATGAAGGTGATCCGGTTATCGGCTGTGTACTTATTGACTTCTGTCGCAAAAGCAACCCCTGCCATCGAACGGCCCTGTGCCGAAACCGATTCGGTGGCGCTCAATGCGAATGTCCACCGGACCGACACATTGGCAATCCCAATGGTCCACCCGGTTGTCGACACCCGAACGAGTGTCCTAACGGTGATGTCGACTGCCCACCGACTGCCGCTTGCATTCATGACGGCTCAGTCCCAATGTGCAAGTCACCCTGCAGTATTGTGGGCACCTGTGGACCGGACGCCATTTGTCGGGTTGACAATCACAAAGCTAGCTGCTACTGCCCGCACGGATTCACTGGCCAACCTTACGATCGTGCAACGGGATGTGTACGAATCCCACCATTTTGTGACGATGATACCTCATGTCCTGCTCCCCTGGTCTGCGAGAAGCGCCGCTGTCGACCGCCTTGTTCTGGAAAGGACGATTGTGCCACCCGGGAAATTTGTGTTCATGGTCACTGTATCCAAGGCTGTCTTGAGGACCACGACTGTCTCGACAAGGAGATTTGTCTGGAAAAGAACTGCGTAGTCGGTTGCCGAGCTGATTCAGACTGCCGTTACGATGAAACATGTATTTTGAACCAGTGCAAAAACCCCTGTGCTAACCCAACTGCCTGCGGAACGAACGCTGAATGCCAAACAATTCAGCACCGTGTCCAGTGTACTTGTCCGCCACGGTTCACCGGTGACGCATTGGTATCGTGCGTCCGAGTTTCGGTCGCTTGCCGTACCGCAGTTGAGTGCGGCGATCAATACAGTTGCGTGGCGACCCGCTGCCGCGTTGATTGCTCTACTGACGCCGACTGTGCATTTGGCGAACGTTGTTTTTCTAACAGTTGCTATATCCTTTGTCGATCAGACTCTGAGTGTCACGATGGCGAAATCTGCGTCGGTAACCGTTGTCAGCTGGGTTGTCGTTCCAACGAGCAGTGCCCTGATCATTTGGCCTGCGTCAGCAACCAGTGCCGTGACCCGTGCGAAGGCCAGGCGACATGCGGACCTAATGCCGAATGTCGCGTCGCCAATCATCGACCGGTTTGTTCCTGTCCTTCGCACTTCGTTGGCAGGCCACATGCCAATGTGGCCTGTGTGCGTCGTGCTATCATCTGTAGCGCATCGCAAACTTGTGAACCTGGCAGTGTTTGCTTCCTAGGCTATTGTCGGTTAACGTGCAGTACGAACCAGGATTGCGCTCTAAACGAACGTTGCGTTGACAATCGTTGCCACGTCCAGTGTCACCGTGACAAGGAATGCTTTGACTGGGAGATTTGTGAACATAACTTCTGCAAAGTTGGGTGTCGCGCCGACACCGATTGTCCTTCGCATCTGGCCTGCATTAAGAATCAATGCACTGATCCTTGTGCTAGCCCAGCGGCCTGTGGTACTAACGCTGTTTGCGTCGTCCATAACCACCGGCCACAGTGTTCGTGCCCCGCCGGACTTCGAGGTGAAGCCGAAATTGAGTGCGTACGAACAGCTGTAGACTGCCGCACAAACGACGAATGCGGAGTCGGCCAACGTTGTGAGTCTACCATCTGCCGCGTCAGCTGCTCGAGTGATAACGAATGCTTCGATAACGAACGTTGCGTCGAACGATACTGCAGCTGTAAGTACTTGTTTAATAACTAACGTAACAGAGTAATAAGTTCGTATCTCCTTTAGGATACAGCGTGTCCTTACACATTTCCGATTGGATGTTTGGTAACCCGAATTATTACTGCAGTACAAAAGCCAAGTTATTATAAAAATAAATAACTCCTTTGACATTCTAAGGAATAATTCTTTATTTTCTTGTGTATTTGATTCGATGGTCAGGCGGCCGATGAAAATTACATACAATTTCACCTTGATGTCGAAAACAAACTGCAAGGACGCCCAATTATCGCAATATTTACTTAGGTGGTGTCCTTTGTCCCTGTGTTTGTGTCGGGCTTGTTAGCCACTAGTCCGTAGTACTACGTAGTAAGCAATACGACTGCTTCACTGCCCTAAAACCATCCGGGCGTGCTGATATATTTACTTTCTTCTTCTGATGATAATGCGAACACCCACTAGTCTGATAATTGCTTACATAGCGATGACCTTAGGGTCGTACTGATTTCACCATCTTCCCTCTTGATCTTCTCAGTGAAAAATCTCTTATCGACGAACGCTGTATATCAACATACTTTTACGGGAGCACATCTTCCGAATTGCGAGTATCTCTAATGATATTCGAGTACTACGCCATATAACTGGACTACTCTACACTACATATTGGTATTTGGGTCTATATGCATGATGAACTATATAGCTTATTTTGGGTGTTTAACAGTATTGATGGGTTAATAGCTAATATGTAATGATGTGTGGAGCACAAGTGCAAAATAATCATATCTATTTAATGTAACTTCAGTGATCTGTACTGCGGATACCGTTTGTCCAAAGAATCACATCTGCGAGAAAGGACTCTGCTTCCGTAAGTGTTTTAGTCATATGTAGGGAAATATCTATTAATCTATGCTGCCATATCAAAAATAGTGCCTGATTTCTGATGATCTGATCGTTTTGGACCTGCTTGAAGTACAGATCCAATGTACAGCCAACAGCAGCTAACAGTCATAGAGTTGTATGTATGTTCTATTTGGCGCGACATCTTCAGTTCTAGTTTTTTTTTGTACATGATCGCCTAATATATCACCCACTATTTTTCCAGTGGGCTGCCGATCTGACTATGATTGTCCATCCAGCGAACAGTGTTTGAACCGTCAATGCGTCAATCCCTGTGAGAGCCCTACAGCTTGCGGACCCCATGCAAAATGCCAGCCTACCAGCCATCGCGCCTTGTGCAGCTGCCTGCCGGGCTTCACTGGCGACCCCCAAGTAGAATGTAATAAAGTTGAGTGCGTCATCGATTCGGAGTGTTCACTCGGCAAAATCTGTCAGAACTACCGTTGCTATGAGGGCTGTCGGTCGGATGCGACGTGCAGAGATGACCAATCATGCATCAGTCGTCAGTGCCAAAATCCATGTACCTTCATGGGCGCTTGTGGAGCCAATGCTATTTGTGTAACGAAGAACCATCAGCTAACGTGTAGTTGCCCGCCGAAAACAATCGGCGATCCATTTGTGGAATGTATCAACGATCCTGATGTTTGTACGCGAAGCAGTGAGTGCGGCCCGGAACGTTCCTGTGACAGCGGTCGTTGTGTTCTTATTGTTGAGTGCCATCGCGACCCAGACTGTCAGCTCGGTCATATCTGTGAATCCCATCGTTGTTTCGAGGGATGTCGCAGTGACTCCAATTGTCCGGTGAATCAGGCGTGTCACAATGGCCAGTGTCGCAACCCTTGCACGATCCGTGGTGCGTGCGGGGTGCACGCCGATTGTTTACCCGAACGTCATCAGGCTCATTGCTTCTGCCCGCCCGGCCTTACTGGGAATCCACAATTCGAATGCAAGCGATCGCAGGATTGTCGTGTTAGTGAAGAATGCCAACCTGGCTTTGTGTGCCTGCGAGGACAATGCGCTCCTGCCGAATTCTGCGCCTCTGATAATGATTGCAATCGTGGCGAGATTTGCGAGAACACTCGCTGCATCGTGGGCTGTCGTTCGAATAGCGATTGCGATTTCTTCCTTGAGTGTCGTGAGCGCGTGTGCAAAGATCCGTGCGTTACTGGCGCATGTGGTATTAATGCGCGCTGTCAAGCTCTAGGACATCATGCTGAATGTAGGTGCCCGCAGAACTATGAAGGCGATCCCCGTGTGCACTGCAAAGAGATCCAAGTCGAGTGCCACACTGACAACGATTGCGGTCTGGAGAAGTACTGCGTCAGCACGCGGTGCATCTTCGGATGCCGCGTCGATGAGCACTGTCCATTCGACAAGGCGTGTATTCAAGGTCAATGCAACAACCCATGCAGCCAAATTGGCGCCTGTGGTATCAACGCACTGTGTCGTCCCCACCATCATCGTGCCGTCTGTACCTGCCCACACGACAAAGTTGGTGATCCCCGCGTACAATGCACAACAAAGATTGTCGTCCACGAAATTCGTACTGAATGTTCAACGGACCATCCGTGCACAGCTGGTTTCATTTGTCGCAACCATCACTGTATCCCCGATGGCTGCTCACACGATTCCGCGTGCAATCCCGGCGAAATCTGCGAACGACGCAAATGCATCCCCGGTTGTCGACGCGATTCGGACTGTACATTCGACAAAGCCTGCATTAACGCCCGCTGCATCGATCCATGCAGCGTTCAGAACGCGTGCGGCATCAATGCTCATTGTCGACCCGTCGTCCACCGACCTGTATGCTCGTGTGTACCAGCCTTTGAAGGTAATCCGTACGACCGCTGTAGTAAACCCGAGATCCGTCTACCACCGCCAGAATGTACTCGTGACCCTGACTGTACGCTTGGGAAGATTTGTGAACTGCAGCATTGTATCGAAGGCTGCCGAAGCGATGATAACTGTCCGTTCGATCGAGCCTGTTACAGCCGCATCTGTCAAAATCCGTGCCTTCAGCCACACGCCTGTGGTAAGGGTGCCAAATGTTTGCCAGCTTCCCATCGTCCTGTCTGTACGTGTTCAGCCGGACTCACTGGAGACCCCGCGTTCGAGTGCACAGTTCCAACTCAGGAATTCTGCTTCCACGACGCCGATTGTCCTCTGGGCCGCATCTGCGAGAAGGGCTTCTGCGTCGACGCATGCCGAACTGATGATGCTTGTCCATTCGATCAAGCCTGTATCCGAAATCGATGTCAAAATCCGTGCAGTTTCGAATACGTTTGCGGTCTCAACGCTGACTGTAAGGCAGCCAACCATAAAGCGGTTTGCCTGTGTACTCCCGGTCTTACTGGTAACCCACTTGAGCAGTGTGTCGAGGTACGGGAGGCTGGGTGTTACCACGATCGAGAATGCCCATTCGGTCAAATCTGTATAACCAAGGATTGCATCGAAGGCTGCCGAACGGACGATCACTGTTCGCCGCTGGAAGCTTGTTATCGTGGAAAATGCACTAACCTGTGCAAACTTCCAGGCACTTGCGGAACTGGCGCGACCTGCGTAATGGAGGCTCATCGACCTGTATGCAGCTGTGAACCAGGTTATATCGGGGACCCGCGTTTCGAGTGCCGTCTCTCGCCGCCCGAGCAGCCGAAAGAGTGCGAAATAGACTCTGAATGTCAGCTACGCCACATATGCGAATCGCATAAATGTGTCTGTACGTAAGGCCCACAACAACATTTGAACCTATTGTTTATCTGTCTAGTCAGGTCGCAGTGAGGTAATGACCCAAACCACTTCATATAAATTGATTTCAAGCGTAACCATAGGCAATATGCTACAGTTTATTTTGACTGCTGCCGTTATGCAATGAGAAAATCTTGTTTATCACGTGTATGCCTAAGTCACGGCCAGCAGAAGTATGTTCATATATGAGTCACTTAGAAATAAACACCATCAGTGCTTCATTTGTAGTATGTTACGGCGTAATGACAAATCGATGATGATATATCTAATAGGGCAAAAGTCTCGGCCTCGCTTGTTTTGTATGATTATGAAAACCTTGCTTATGTGTTTGAAGCGGAGATGTAGCCTTTATAAAGACAAGAAAATAGGGTTTGAGGTCGAAGGACGTATGCGCAATTCGTATCGGTATCATGGCTACCTTTATATAAAAAATCAATAGTACTCTAGAAAGTTGTCATTTAAGTTAACCTTTAACCGTGAAGGGACATGCCGACAAGAGGCCGTCTGTAGTAGTAATACCTGAACTTACAAGCGCCATCCTCAACAGACGATAGCTTTCGGTTTCCAAATTGCATGATGTGACCATAGAAAGTGCCTAACTAAATTGAATTATACAGTGTGACACACGAAACAAGCATTTTGCGACATATTAAAAGTAGTAGGAACCCAAGTGTACCGCTATCATGAAATAGGTACACATGTCGACGTATATTGTTTACAATTGCATTTCTCGAAAAGATGGAACATTTGCTACGAAGGTTATTAGCTCTGAACTTATTAATAATGATTTGCACAGATACAGTACAGTTTGTGTAAAATAATAGTCTTCTACGAACGTATATACGCGTCGCTGCTTTTTACCACATCTATTACAAGACAGTCAAACCACAGAATATCTAAAAATTATATGTACAATACCATGCATGATTTGAATAGTTGAAATTCGTGTTGATCAAAGCTCAACGTTGTAAATACTAGTTCGTCGACGTCCCAACTAATAGGCACAATAGGAAAGCATACATTATCAGCCCTGAAGTAGAGAACTAGGGCTTCGTCTTTAGGACAACACAGATTTGACTGGAAATATACAGGTTTCCAGTTTCGACACGTTAACGCCTCCACACCGTTAATAACATTGAAGTACCCTATACAGAAACTACACAGAACAGAGGAACAATGCAACGTCCTTGCGGAATATCAGATAGCAGAAATTGCGGCACACTTAGAACGTTTCCACCTCTTCCACAAATTAATTTCGTAATGACAGAAAGTCACTGAAAACTGTGGGGTACCTATTTGAGCCAAGCAAATTAATAGCAACAATCTACAATAGGAAACAAGGTGAAGTAGCATTCTTATAAAGTCTCTGTATTCTTTCCTTCAGTCGGATGTCGTTCAGACCAGCGCTGTGGTCTTGAAGAGGCCTGCGTCAACGGTATCTGCCAAAATCCCTGTTCTGTATTCGGCGCCTGCGGCCGTAACGCACTTTGCACACCTATCAACCACCACGCTGACTGCACGTGTCTGCCCGGGCATCGAGGCAATCCTGCCGTTGTCTGTGTTAAAGACGAACCGAAGCCTGAGTGTACACGCGATATTGAGTGTCCACTCGGATTCATTTGCGACAACCAGCGCTGCATTGGTGTGTATTATATAAGAAACTAGGTGAAGGGTTTTATGATAGAACGATTAGTTTCGCTCTGCCGATTTCGAACCCTCGCTGTTTCCCAGAACCGAATTTTACCTTTATAAGCTTATATCTTATTATAAATTATATAATTATAAATTAGAATTTTCATTGATAACAAATCAAGAAAGAGCAAGACATAATTCTAGGCTTAGATTATTTAAATTGATATTGTTTTCATTCATGTAAGCCGTATTTTTTGCTTCCTTGCGGCTGACCGTCTCTTAATGGTAATGATTTGATTTTTATAGAGGGCTGTCGCCATGACAACAACTGCGCAAACGACCGTGCATGCATGAACGGCCAATGTGAGCTCGTTTGCAGGTTGCCAAACGCGTGCGGTATTAATGCACTCTGCCAAGCCCGAAATCACCATGCCATCTGCTCATGCCTGCCAGGATTCCAAGGCGACGCTCGCACAGAATGCAAAGAGTTGCGGGAACCCGGACACTGCATTCACGACAGTGACTGCGCTGTCGGCCTCATCTGTGAAACTGCTGTCTGTGTGCCAGGCTGCCGCACCGACCATCACTGCGGGTTCCTTCAAGCCTGTATTCGTCAAACGTGCCAAGACCCTTGCAAACAATACGGAGCCTGTGGTCTCAATGCCGTATGCCGAGCCTGGAACCACGACCGTATTTGCAGCTGTCTGCCAGACCATACCGGCGATCCAAAACAGCACTGCGTCAAAGTTCTGCCCCCGCCACCCGAGTGTGTTCACGACACCGAATGCCATTACGGACGCATTTGTGAGCTGAACAAATGCATCGTCGGGTGTCGTTCTGATGTCAACTGTCCCATTGACAATCAGTGCCTCAATCGTCAATGTAAGAATCCTTGTCTGCGTTCTGGAGTTTGCGGACGCAACGCTATTTGCAACGCCGTACAGCATCGGGAACTTTGCACTTGTGACCCTGGCTACACTGGCGACCCGGAGATTGCGTGCGAAAAGGTTCCTGACGGATTCTGCCGTCGTGATGAGGAATGTGGCTTTGGTGAGATCTGTCACGCCTCGCGCTGTATTCCGGGCTGCCGAAGTCATAGTCAGTGTCCGTTCAACAAAGCTTGCATCAACCGTCTCTGCCAGGATCCTTGTCTCATCGGAGGGGTATGTGGCACGAACACGAAATGCCACGCAGCCAATCACGAAGCAATCTGCAACTGCCTGCCCGGGTACACGGGCGATCCGCTCACGCGATGCGAGCTTGTACCCAAGCCAGAATGCTACCACGACCTCGACTGCGGGGAAGGCTACGTTTGCGTAGATGGAAGGTGCAAGGACATCAATGAATGCCTACACGGCAGAGGCCCGTGCGGTCACGGCGCCATATGTAACAACTTACCCGGTAGCTACCAGTGCACCTGTCCAAGCGGTCTTATCGGAGACCCATACTATGAGCGATGTCGGCAAAGAGTTGAGGGCTGCACTCGTGACGACGATTGCAAGAACTATGAGGCCTGCGACCGAATTACTGAACAATGTTATGACGTTTGTCACAAACCAGGCGTCTGCGGACGCGGTGCGGAATGCCTAGGCCTCCACCACCGACCCGAGTGTACATGTCCCAGTGGGCTGCGCGGAAACCCGCACGTTGAGTGCTCCGTTGCCAGAGGCTGCGTACATCACCATGAGTGCCCAGGAAATCTGCAATGCCTTGGCGAGTACTGTGGTTGTCCACGGCCATTCCAGCAACGGGGCTTTTTCTGTATTCTCACTTCGCACAATTGCACCACCACCAATCCATGCTCCGAAAACCAGGAGTGTATCTATGACGGACCTGCACATACCGGTTTCTGCGTTTGCCCGCGCGGCTTTGTTCTCATGCCAAATGGCGTTTGCCGAGACATCAATGAATGTGACCAAGTGCCGTTTCCTTGCGCAACTGGTGCACAATGCTATAACAAAATTGGATCATTTGAATGTGTTTGCCCTACTGGGACAAGCGGAGAACCCTACCAGGCGGGCTGTGAGCCGCCGAAGGGTGAATGCACGACAGATCACGATTGTTCAGACCACAAGACGTGCAATGTATCTATTCTGAAATGCTATGACCCCTGCCTCGTACCTGATGCCTGTGGCCACAACGCACGGTGCCGAGCGATACATCACAAGGCTCAGTGCGAATGTCCTGCGGGTCATACTGGTAATCCGAAAATCCAATGTTATAAACTTATTGGATGCCCACATGAATTCCAGTGTCCAGGAAACCTATTGTGTCTTGATGGTTACTGTGGTTGCCCCCCTGATTTCAAGCATCGACTTGACTACTGCTTCAGGACAAGCCACAACTGCACCACGACGAATCCCTGCGATCGGCATAACGAAGAATGTGTTTACGTCGGCCGCAAGGATGGCTTCTGCGTTTGTCCCCGAGGCTTCCGCATCACACCTAATGATGACTGTGTCGACATCAATGAATGCGTGGAAATCACACCGTGTGGCCAGGCTGCCGACTGTGTGAATTTGCCCGGCAGCTATGAATGCGCCTGTCCACCTGAACACGAAGGAGACCCGTACAAGGGCGCTTGTTTGCGCATCGAGCCACCAAAACCACGCTGTATAACCGACGACGATTGTCCGTTGCACGAGGCGTGTGACCGTTCGATACCTGATTGCCGCGATCCATGCTTGGACGCTCCATGCGGTATCGACGCCAGCTGCCGCGTCCAGAGTCATCGACATTCTTGCACATGCCCACCCGGTTACACCGGTGATCCGCTCGTGCGCTGTGTGAAGATTGAGATCTGCGGCATCGACTACAATTGTCCCGGAAACCTAATCTGTCTCGACGATCACACCTGCGGCTGTCCCCCAAATCTGGAACGACGTGGCGACTTCTGTATCGCGGAATCGCGTAACTGCACTACCACAAATCCCTGTCAAAAAAACGAAGATTGCATTTATGTCGGCCCAAAGGATGGCTTCTGCGTGTGTCCTCGTGGATTCAGACACAATCCAGATCTCACCTGTACTGACATCAACGAGTGTATCGAACTGGCTGACCCGTGTGCGCGCAATGCACTCTGCATAAACACCCAGGGTGGTTACGAATGCAACTGCCCTCCCGGCACAGTCGGTGACCCCTACATTCGCGGATGTGAAAAACTCGAAGAAGGCTGCAAGAGTAATGAGGACTGCCCGAACGACAAAATTTGCGACAATGGCACCAAACAATGTATTTCGCCATGCTTCATCTGCGGCCCATCGGCTATCTGCACAGTCACCAATCATGTCGCACTATGCACATGTCCATCGGAGCTCATTGGTGATCCCTACGATAAGGTCCACGGATGCTATGTTCCACCACCACCTAAAACTGAACCACCCATTCAGGATACCCCACCAGGAGGTTTGGATGTTATGTGTCTCGCTGACGGAGTCCAAGTGCTCATATCGCTAGACAACTTCAATGGCGTAGTCTATGTAAAGGGCCACAGCCAGGACGAAAACTGTCGTCGAATTATTGCCAATAGCAACTCCCGTGAGACCATTGATTTCAAAGTTCTTTTCAACACCTGCGGGCTTGTGCACATCAATGGCGAAGCGTCGTTCGTCCTCGTTATTCAGAAACATCCGAAACTCGTCACGTATCGCGCCCGTGCTTACCACATCAAATGCGTATACAATACTGGAGAGCGCACAGTGACCCTTGGATTTAACGTTAGCATGATTACGACGTCCGGAACTATCGCCAACACCGGCCCACCACCTACCTGCCAGATGCAGATTTGCACAATCGATGGCAAGGAAGTATCTCAGGCCGAGATCGGAGACGATCTTTTGCTCAAAGTTACCGTTCAACCCTATGGTAGGTTTTATGATTATGAAAGCAGGTCGCTTATATACGAACTTCAGTTAACACATTCAGCCCCCACACACAAACACATATACACATACACACACCTCGTCCCTTTAGCGTGGTAGGCAAACTGTCGGATCACAAGAAAATGTCAATTTTTCATTCAGCAATGTCTATTTAAAGCAGCATTGTAAAGCTCGTATCGTACTCATTTCTCTGACATAAACCGACGAACAGTCACATTATATATTTCGCTCGCTTACTGTTTCGGTAGAAATCTACGGAGGTTTCGCTCGCGGCTGTATCGCCAAAACTATGGAGGACGACGAGGAAGTCCAGTACGAGGTAACCGACAACAACGGCTGTGCGACCGACACCTCGATCTTCGACAATTGGAGTTACGAGCCCGAAAGCAAAGTTCTCATGGCACGGTTCAACGCTTTCAAATTTCCATCATCAAACAATCTTCGATTCCAATGCAGCATTAGAGTATGCTTCGGTTCCTGCCCGCCTGTTCATTGCCAGGGCGTTGACGCTTTCGGCCGTCGTCGCCGACGTCGTCGCCAAGTTGGAGTGGCTGGAGGATCAGACCTCAACCCCGGATCAATCGGGTTTCAGGTGAGCACCATGAATCGCCTAATTTTCTTTTCTGGTTTGTTTACGCCCTTGAACAGTGAGAGTATGCGATCCACCATGAACAACAAATAAAACCAGCATTTGATCTCTGTCGGCTTTTGCAGGAGGGCCAGCTTCGTGAAGAAATCCAGGTGCAATCAAATGCCATCTTGACGTTCGAAAAGAAGGAGAATCAGATTGGTCCACTGCAGGAACTCAACGAGAGTCCGGCCATCGAAGAGATTGATACAGTGTGCTTGCCGAAACTTGGCCTTATAATTTCGCTTATTATCACTACACTGCTGGCACTCGTAGCCGTCGCAGTAGCCATCTCGTGTTGGCTAATGGCTTACAGGAGGCGGGCCCGCGCCCCTGGGCCACTACCTCACCCGGCCGAGTTCCCCAACCCATTGTACACGACCCCAGAACCAACCATAGCTGAGCCTGCACCAGACTACTACCAGTCGCCGCCTTCGAGGCTTAGTGTTAACTCCCGCATTCGCTAAGCCTTTGCTTGTTTTGCTGCGAACTTAGCCTCCCCATAAAGATACACACTACACCAAACATAGATATGTAGGCGTCACCTCTGACGAGTCTGCCAGGATGATACACGCAACAAAAGGGCAAGGCAAGCAGAAGAACTTAACAACACACGAAAGCAAACTGTTATTTTGTCGGTGGGCGTGAAATCGGTACTGGAAGTTACCAAGCAGAAAATGATGCGTTGCATGAATAGACTACTGCCAGATAGATTCCATAATGAACGCCGGCTGAACACAAAACTTAAATTTCAATAGAATGCAAACACTTAGAGTAGTTACGAAAACGCAGACACTCGGTAAAGGACTGGAGAAAGCTGCTTGATTATAAAAACTACTTTACTTGTAACGCAGCAGGCAAGCAAAGCAAGATAAGCCAAAGCTTTAAGCAGAGATATGATAAAACGTAGAAACAAAAACGAGCAAGAGGTAGATAGGGACAGAGATAGATAGAGACTTAGCGGAAAAAGAATGAAAAAGATAGAAAGTAAGGGAGGACGTGGGGGGATTCGACAGGGATGACGGCCAGTAACTATATAGAAGACGTTAGGTCAACAGTTCATTCGATCGACATTGAGCCCCGATTTATTTAGTATTTTTTTTTTTTGTAATTTACAAAAAATATACCACTGATGAGATGAACGATAATATTCATATAGATCACTAACGAAATAGGATGGGGTTACTGATTTTGTAATACTGATTTAATGTTGAACGCAATGGATAATAGTGAATAATATTTTTTAGAGCGAACTTAATAATGTATCATTATTTATGATAAACTAGTAGCAGTAATAGTAGTAATAACAATCAAATTTCCATGAGGATCACAATAACGATGATACAGATAATTCTAGCGATAACGATGTCGATACGCACATATAACACGTAAAGGGAAAAATCCGCTCATGATTTAAGGAAAACGTGAGGGATGCGCGAATAAAAGCTGCCAGAAACAAGAGAAAAGTAGCATATAAACAAGCATTTGACATTTTTTATTGCTTTTGGCATCACCTAAACCAAACTGTTGAGTAGTCAACAATTCTATCATTATTAGTAAATTTCCATCAGTTTCACACTGAAAGCGTTTGGTAGCTTTTTCGAAGCTGACTCCACCCCTGAAGATAGGCTTTGCTTAAAGAAAAAAATTACCATTATTGTCGTCGTTGCTATTATTCAAGCCAATCACTTCGTACAGGCAACTATAGATAGCATCTGTGCCAAATGTCACACTATTTATTATTTTTAGTGTCGATGATTTATTTCATATAGAAGACACCCGGTGCACACGTAGGGAAGCGTAAGCAGACAACACAGACAAATTACAACGCTGCCACCCTGGGACTAATTTCCCGTTTCAAAATTATAGTGTTGTTCCTTCTCTTTCCTCCCGTCCAAATTGATATGCTTTGCTTATTCAACGGGCTTTTTCGTTGGGGGACATTAAAGTTTCACTGAAATTTCAGAACGTCTTTTTCCTGGCACACTGTTATAGGCTTCAATATTGCGACCGATTACAGCCTCGGGCATCTCTGATATGGACTGACTACGCTATGTGATAGCGCTATATTGCAATTACCCCATGAGAGATCATGATGACTCTCAGTGGACGGAATGGCTAAATGATTTATGGGCAAGCTTCATTAATGCTTACTCGAGAATTCGAGTGCGGAAATAATAGCCAAATCATTGCTATAAGCGGGGCCAAAAATCATTGCGATCACTCTTTTCTGCTGTTATTTTCGAGCTTATCCCGAAGTTACATTGTCTGTGCTTTGCACAATTTCGAAATTTTCCATTCCGCCATCGAGATTATCCGTACAATACGATACATATATTCGAGCCGCCAACTTTTCGTGAAAATCGACCACCAGAACGTGCATAGTAGTTCCAGAAGACGATAGCCTACGAGTGCGTGTATTGGTTCTATAACAGGTCCAGTTGTACGGAAAGGGTGGTTATGGTTCTCTGTCGAACAGGAATACGTTGCCCTTTGCACAGCAGCTAGTTTATTTGCTTCTATGCCCATAACTTCAGCTTTCACATTAACAAACGGCCTGTGATAAGAAAAATAGCTAAGCTCCCAATATAGGTAGACAATAAAACATAGCGGACATGATGACATACGAAACTTTAATACATGAAGGCTTAGTCCGAGAGCGTCAAGCACATCCAATATTTGAACGAATTTATTATAATATCTGCTATACGGAAACTACGTTCATGAGTCAAGCTTGTCATGAAATCCCGTTTTTTCTTTTTTATTTGGACCATATTTATTGGAGAGGGTAGATGAATGGTTCCCAAGACGACGCACGGTGCTCTCATGTAGAAGCTCGAGTTCAGAGCAACGTTCAATACCTGCCTTTTTTCTTTACTATTATTTTATTATTAACGAAATACTTAAATAACGTGCAAAACTAACTTCAACTAGCTAGAAGATGCAGAGTCGTGAAAAATAGGAAAAATCAACATGTGCTGCCGACATTTGGGCAGCTAGTGTCACTATTAGGACGTATACGGACAGAAGACAGACAAAACACACGAACATTTCCTATACAATTTGCCATTTTTTATTATGTAGTTGATAAGTATTTATTCCTAATTCTAATTCTTATCTTAATATTGTATAGAATAATAGGCAGACGTGTATTTTATGTTGAAGTTGCCATTTTAAATTTATTTTTTTTTTCATAGCTAGGTAAATCTGTAATACACCCTAAAGTATGCATTTTATTACATTATGCATAAACATTTACGAAATATTAATAAAGTTGTATTGAATGTTTTATGTTTATATAATGACCTATATTCATCATAATACTATATATCTTACCAAAATAGATCAGGTCTCAAGGTAAAAATTCGTGAGGCTGATAATCTTCACACGTTTTCACACGTCTGTGCTCTTTTTGTGCACCTACTATTTGTTGTGGTGTAGAAAAGTTGTGCTCGCAATTTTGCTAGGTCTCGTCGTTTGGCCTGCAAAAATGGGACCCTGATAGAGCAATAGTAAAACAAAAGATTGTCCTACTCCTCTCCACTATTGTTTCCCGTAACATTATACATGATGTATGTAGAAGGTGGCCATCGAAGTGACTGCCACGCGAACCGCGGTACATTGCCCTCATGTTCACTATGAAGTATAATACTTCTTCAAAGCGAGCAATTCAACTAATGTGAATTTTCGTAATGTTTATATAATGATGGCGACCGAGTAAATTACCATTGTAGGACAGAGAATCAGTGCAATCTGATCGATTCGGGCGCGTCACATTATCAAGCAATGATAAGCGTAAGTGATTTTGCCATGTGCCTACTTTTACTCCGGTATTGCTATGCTATTACTTCCACATGATAAACATGTAGGACGGTTCTGAGCTCATAACGAAGCGGACACTTCTAGAGACAACGCGCATTCATCAGTAATAAATTAATACTACTAAATAATATAATGTCTCGGATAATTAGCGCTAATCATTTCTGTAAATGATAATAATTATAGCAGGAGACCGAGAAAAAAATAGATAGTGCGCTTATAGTTCATTTTCGAATCACACATGTTAAAATGTGGCTTAATGTGACAATCATGACTTCCAATAAAGTATGTGTGTATATTTATAATGACTGACTTAATTATAGAGTATAAGTTTACTGAAGAATTGGAAAATATGAAGTTAATAGAAACGGCTGGCATCTGGAAGATCGCTCTAATTTTATAGAAGTTCCACTTCTTCGATTCTATTGACTGAGATGACAATTTACTTTTGGGCTAATTAATGCATTTGTCGAGACGTCGGAGAGCATCATTGTAGAACCGCAGTCAATGTTAATGGCCTAAAGGATCTGCTTCAGCTATATCCTGTCGACTAGATGAACAGCAGTGAAGATCTCTCTACCGAAAAAAAAATAAACATATCTTCACCAATTTATATCTTCTGCTAGATAAGGGTGGGCAGTACTGGGCCTCAATACCAATAAAAAAATTCAGCGCATAATCATTCTCGTTCACTAACACATTAGAGTAACATGGTCAAGTGCCATTGGCCACAAGGCATTCTTTCAAAAATATCGAATAAATATTTCATTTTACAACGAAATGTGCTTTTACCGTGGAGCAGCTTGTCTTATAACGACCTCACCTGATACTTTATTGACAAATAAATCTGACATCATCGATCTCAGCGTTTAATTGAATCTAAAACTTTATTTGCTGCCGATTAGTCACCTCATCATCCGTTTACTATGAAAAAGCAGCAGCTCGTGATAACACAACGAGGGTCTCGAGTTCATCTCCTACAAGAAAAAAAAAAAAGTATTTCAAGGGTCCCATGTTAGGTGCATGAAAACTAGGGGGTTAATTTTGGTCATAATGGTAATGTTTAACGTCTATCGTGCATCTTTTCTCGCGTGTAATTGATCGTGAGGGTCGACTGGATTATTCGAAACACAGAGACCCTTCTTGATGTCACAGGTACAACTGTGATCTCTGAATCTTGCTGTATCAATGTAGAAGAACTTTAGCTGTTGCTATTCTGGAATGTAAGATGTTTTTTTTTTCATGTAAGAAATTTACAGTTTAGAAATTTAAGTTAAGAAAGTTAGGAGTATCCTAGGGAATGTGTACCCGATTAGCTATAACGTCATAAAGAATTACTGGGGAAGGTGCTATAGGTATGCATTCTAATCTCACATTTTGTTTATGAACTAATGCAGCTCTGTTTCACAGACTGCCTAAGATGAGTACGTATTTTTTTTTTTCGTATCTATTTTAAGATATTTTCACTCACGTCCCAGTTTCATCAGCCCACAGATCTAGACCAGGCATTTCTGATTATCAGCGAAATCTTTTTCAAGCATCTCTCTGATTAGCTGATCTAGATTTAATTTTGCATGCATAGTTGTTAAACATCAATGAGCAATCTTCATGGCAAATACATTTATTAGTTGTACCTTTTATAACTCAAAGACAGAGTGTGTCTGAACAGATCCTCTGTGCGACGAAGGCTTTTGTCACAGAAGACCCCACAGATCTATGTTATAAATCTGTCATATAATACAGATAAGACGTAAAATTAGATCAAGTCTAATTGTATGTCCACTAAATCTTTTCCTTATTCACAATGGCCATAGCAAAGTCCGTCTGTTGGCGGCCTCGTATGGGAAACTCGGAACTCCGAACGGATTTTGTCACAAAGTCTGTTAAATGTA